CCTGTCTTTCTGGTGATGCCATATCATGCCTGGTACACCTTTTATATGAATCCTCCGTTGTCCTCTGTTTCCTCTCCCCATCTAGTCACCTTCTTTACTGCTTTCTCCCACCTCCTATGAAAAGGCCTCTCCATCCTGGCCCAGTGCACAGCTCCTTTCTCCTTCTGCTTCCCACACTGACCTGCCTGAGGACTCATCTGTTCCACTTGCACCAGTGACATTTCCTCTGTTGATCCTCACACAGCTTCCCCATCTTTGTCTCCACATGTACTCTGAATTCTTACACCATTGCAGTCTCTTTCTCACCTCCCCTTCTGCCTGTGAGTGATGTGTGAGTTTAAATTAAGTACTAAGTCTAGATTAAGTGCTCTGCCTTCCCAGCACCTTGCTTTGTCTTGCAGCAGCTACTTAAGAAATACATAAGTTAACATCTAGATTCAGTGATGTTACTTGCACTTGTCATACAAGCTTTGCTGTATTTTCTCCCCAGGTTTTTTTCCCAACACACTAAAGTGGCAACAAATGGCACTTTTCTCAAGGTTTGTGTGTACCATCACTGAAGACACTGGGTGACCAAACTTGTGTTCTCTTTTGCTGTGCTTTGCCTAACATCTAATGCAATGCTTCATGTGTACTATAAGTGCAGTGTTTGCAGCGATGATTATGATTTTCCCTCTCTGTTCATGGGGTCTTTTGCTAGGCATTTTTTTTGCCAATAACTTAAAAATATATGTAGCTTTGCAGTCTTTATCTTGTCTTGGAAATGAAAATTTGTGTGGTGATAGAGGGTTTGGGGTAGAGAAGTTTGAGAGGGTTAGCTTCTTAATGATATCATTTTGGTTCCTGTGATTGTATCTCATTACTCAAAAGAGCCCAGCCTCACCAGCTAAATGAGAGTCTCTGCTGAGATCTTCTGCTGAACTCACTGGAAGAGAAGGAGGTTAACACTTTGCTTGAGAACAACCCCGCCTGCACTCACTGGTTTGGTATTCATGTAGTTTCTCAGGTGTTCTTTGTCATGGAAGTATCTTATTTCCCCATTCATTTTGAAAGACAGTTTTGCAGGATACATCAGTCTAGGTTGGAGGTTGTTCTCTTTTAGTACTTGAGATATCTCACTCAGGGCTCTACTTGCCATAAGGGTTTGTGTTGAAAAGTCTGCTGTGATTCTGATGGGCTTTCCTTTGCATGTGATTTGTTTCATTCTCTTACTGCTTGTAGTATTTTGTTCTTCTGTTGGGTTTCTGGAATCTTGATTATTATATGTCTAGGTGTAGATTTCTTTTGATTGTGGCTAGTTGGGTTCCTATATGCCTCACTTATCTGAATGTCAAATTCTTTCCCTCTGTTTGGGAAGTTTTCTGTCATTAATTCTGCAAACAGCTTTTTTGAGTCTTTTGTATTTTCTCCTGCTACTTCATGGATTCCCATCAGTCTTATGTTATTCTTCTTTGCATCATCTAGGAGTTGTTGGATCGATTTTTCATGACCCCCTACTGTTTTTAAGAGACCTCTCCTTTCACAGTCACTGACTGCAATCTTATCTTCTATATCTGAGATTCTATCTTCACATTCTTTTATTCTGTTACATACACTTTCAATGGAGTGTTTAATCGCCTGGATATCTGAATCTGTTTTATGGATTTCATTTATTTCCCATGTTGGGCATTTATTGTTTCCATTTCTTTCTCATGCTGGGACTTCATGGCTTCTATCATGGTCCTGAGCTCATATATTTTTTTGTCAGTTTCTGTTCTAGAGTCTTGCATCATGACTTTTATTTTGCTCACCATCTCTATGGTTAGCTGGGAAATTGTTTTGAATTTTTCTAGAGCCTGATTGATCTGTTTTGTTACTTCATGTGCTTTGAGTTCAGGTTGTCCTGGTGGTTCACTATCAGCCTTTTCATCCTCATTTGTCTTACTGTTTGCTATTGGTAAACTGGAAGTCTGTCTTTGTGTCTTGCTTAAGTGTTTTCTCATTTATTTTTGTTGTTGGGCTGTCCTTGGTTTAATCTCTGGGTTATCACCCAAATCTTCTTGATATAGTTGCGCCCTAGCTTCTGGGTCTCTAACAACCCTCAGACATTCTCATCTTCATAACATCAGAGAAAACAGATAATCAAATTAACCACAATCCTTTATCCCAGCTGATACAATCAGCAACACAATATGATCAAGCACAACTTAGAAACTGACCACCTGTGGTAGTCACTAGTGTATCACCCTTAAACCATGTGAATTAAATTGAAACCAAGAAGGAGTCCAAAATATGTCTGCAGTGAGCAAACTTTTCAATGTAGTATATTTACAACTTAGGATGGGGGCTCAGACAGAGCTAGGACGAGAGGAGTAGATAAGTAAAAGAATTGGAGAAGGTTTCAAGTGAAGCCAGAGGACATAGAATGACCACACAATATTCAGGAAACTGTTGAATTCAAAAGTGATTGACAGAGTAGAAGAACAAGGACAAGAATATACCCTCTTAACAGCAATAGGGCTCACTTTCCCCTGAACCCACTGACCCCTGTGTGAGGTAGAATGACAGAAGAAAAGAACATAAAGAAAAGAAAAAATGATAAAAGAAGAAATCTGAGTTAGGGCAGGAGCAGAAACAGAAAGGGAGATGAGGGATAATATGGTGGAGCAAGAGACTCAGTTGGGGAAAGAGGACAGAAAAAAGAAAGAATTTGCAGAGTGGAATGAGGAAAAGAAAAAAAAGGATTTGAAGGGCCTCTTTCAAACTATATCTCTGCTGTCATAACATACAACATGCACAGCCATGTGAAGAATCTGCAGTCCTGATCTCAGCTAGCTGATGGCAAAACCCCATGATGCAAACTGACCTCAGGCTGCAAGGCCAGATTGAGTTCCCCGACCTCCTGAACAGTTGAACTCCACACCATTCTACCACAGGCTTCCCACGCCCTTTTTAAAAAGATGTTCAAAGTTGGGAACTCAGAACAATACCCTTTATGACCACCTCTGCCTCTGCAGAGTGGGTCCAAAGACTGGCACAATCAGTGTAAGGGGAGGAGTTGGAGGAGTGCATATGAGGGGGGAGTTGGGGGAGTTGTGGGGGTTCAGGGGCGCCCACATTGGTACCTTCTTGGAGCTGGAGCGATGGCGGCTCCCAGGGGGAGAGGGTGTGTCTATCCTTCCTGCAGTGGGTTGGGGCGCAAGCAGGCCCTCCTGGCACTGGAGCAATGGCAGCTCCTGGCGGGAGAGAGCACAACTGAGGTTTAGTTCCTGAACTCTTTTCCTGTGCTGATGTCTTCACAAGATGTACCTAACCTCTCTTCCAGCTGGCTTATTGGTTCTGTTTTTATATTTAGATTTTGATTCAATTCCCTTATATTTTAGTGCATGGTGAATGATATAGATCAAGTTTTAATCTTTGGGAAGTTGAAACCCATTTCCCATCACCATTTATTAAAGAGGCTATCTTTCTTCCAGTGAGAGTGTTTGACACCTTTGTTGAAGATGAGGTGACTGATTGTGCCTGGAGTTCTTTCTGCATCTTCTAATTTTTCCACTGGTCCTTGTGTCTATTTCTTTGCCATTACCATGCTGTTTTTACCACAGTAGCTTTGTAGTATAGTTTTGAACTGGGGATTGTGATACACCTTGCCATGTCTCTGTTGCCTAGAATGGCTTTTGCTATTCTAGGTCTCTTCTTGTTCCAAATGCAGTTTTGGATTATTTTCTCAAGTTCTGTAAAGTATGCTGTTGGAATTCCAATTGGAACTGTGTTGAATCTATGTAGAAGTTTTGGCAGTATGGCCACTTCCTAGTTCTTTCTACCCAGGGGCGAGAGATGTCTTTCCACTTTCTGATATCCTCTTCAATATCTTTTTTCAGAGTGCTATAGTTTTCAGAGTAGAAGTCTTTGATTTGTTTTGTTAGGTTGATTCCTAGGTATTTCATTTTTTTTGGATGTATTGTGGAGGGAGTTGTTTCTCCAGTTCCTTTTTCAGTGAGCCTATTTGTGTGTGTGTGTGTGTGTGTGTGTGTGTGTGTGTGTGTGTGTGTGTGTGTGTGTGTGTAGTGTGTGTGTGTGTGTGTGTATGCAGGGAAGGTATTGGTTTTTGTGTGTTGACCTTGTATCCAGCTACTCTACTGAATTTGATTATTAAGAGTTGAATAGTTTTGGTGGCGTTTTTGGTTTCTTCTATTTAGAGTATCATGTCATCTGCAAATCATGACAACTTGACTTCCTTATTTTTTATCTTTATTCCTTTTATTTTTTTCTCTTGTCTCATTGCTGTGGCTAATGTTTCCAAAACTATATTGAGCAGGAGTGCTGATATTGGACATCCTTGTTTTGTTCCTGATTTTAGTGTGAAGTATTGCAGTTTTGACCATTTAGTATGATATTGGCTGTTTTTTCATGGCTTTTATCATGTTGAGGTAGGGACCATCTCTGTAAACTTTTTGTGTGGTTTTTATCATGACTGAATGTTGGATCTTGTGGAATGCTTTTTCTTTGTCTACTGAAATGATCATTTTTTTGTGCTTGGATCTATTAATATAGTGTATTACATTTATTGATTTACATGTGTTCAACCATCCTGGAACCCCTGGAATGACTCCCACTTGATCAGGGTGATCTTCTTGCTGACCTTCTGTATTCTGCTTGAAAGTATGTTATTCATGATTTTTGCATCTATGTTTATTAGGGAGATTGGCCTGTAGTTCTCTCTCTCTCTCTCTCTCTCTCTCTCTCTCTCTCTCTCTCTTTTTTTTGGTACTGGGGATTGAACTCGGGTCCTTGCCCTTGCAAGGCAGGCCACCGAACCACTGAGCTAAATCCCCAGCCCTGTAGTTCTCTTTTTTGTTTTGGTCTTTCTCTGCCTTCAGTACACAATACTCATGTTCATCATGTGAAATTTGTATCTATATTAATTTTTATTGTCCTTATTCCATTGTTTCCTCCCTCAAAACATTCTTCTCTCCTTCATTTTTAAAAGATGACTTTAATTTTGTATCTTGCATGCAGTTTTAAAAACTGCACCCATACTGAAATTGCAGGATCCTCTTCCATGCTCTCTTCACATCCTTGTTTCTCAGGGTGTAGATGAGTGGATTGAGCACTGGGGTGATCACACAGTAGAAAAAGGACATGAACTTGGCCTGTATGCTTTGGCCAGGGGGCTGGAGGTACATGTACATAGCAGGGCCAAAGTACATAGTGACAACCAGCAAGTGGGAACTGCAGGTACTGAGTGCTTTGTGCCTTCCTTCAGCTGAAGGTAACTTCACTACTGCCCTGGCAATAAGGATGTAGGAGATAAGCACAATGAGTGGAGCCACTACTGCAAAAGGGATGGCTCCCACAGCCAGGGACAGGTTATTATCAGAGGTGTCCCCACAGGCCATCTTGATGAGTACAGGTAACTCACAGAAGAAGTGGTCCAGGATGTAGTGCCCACAGAAGGGTAGCTGGAGCGTGAGTGTGGCTTGGAGTAGAGAATTGGCCAGGCCACTGGACCATGAAGCAGCTGCCATCTGCACACACACCAAGGGACGCATGATGAGAGTGTACTGGAAAGGCTGGCAAATGGCCACATAGCGATCAATGGCCATCATTGCTAGTAGGGAACATTCAGTGCAAGCTGTCCAGGTGAAAAGATAGACCTGTGTAGTGCATCCCCAGGAAGAAATTGTCTTTTCTGTTCCCCACAGGTTGGCCAGAAGCTGGGGCACAATGGTGCTGGTTACCCCAAGGTCTAGCAGAGAGAGGTTGTCCAGGAAGAAGTACATGGGTGTCTGGAGTCTGCGGTCCACCAGGGAGAGGAGGATGATGGAGCTGTTTCCTACCAGGGTGAGGATGTAGGAAACCAGAACCATTGCAAAGAGGGGCCTCTCCAGCCAGGGAAAGTCTGAGAAGCCCAGAAGGACAAAAGCGTTGGGAAAACTCATGTTTCCCCTTTCCATGGAAGCTGCCTTACATATACCTAGAAGATAAGGGCCATAGTTTGAATTTTATACTCATGACTTTTCCAGTTATGTAGCTTTAGTGGGTTCACTCTCAAATCTTCCATGGCTTTGGAGTATAATTCTTTTAATAAGTAGAATAATTTTTGACTGTGTTTCTGAAACTTCCATATCTTTTGATTTGGAAGTTCAGATAAATGTGAATAAAGAGTTGAAAAATTATATACTGCACTGAGTTCACTGAAGTAGATGTCTTTGTAGAAAACATCTTCTTATTATTTTCTCCCCAATTCTCCCTATTTTTCCAATATCCCCTTTTTAATCACTTTTCATGTTTTCTGTCTTGCAGCATATTAATTGTCAGGTTCTGTGGTCATGTAGAAAGGGCCATGTGGTCTCTTGCATTTAGGGCACTGCTTTCATTAATGCCATGTAAGATGACTCTGACTCATTTTTCCTCTCAGTCCAAAGGGTGAGGGGTCTTGGGGCTCAGTGGGACTCCGTGGAGTTTGAGAGAGGCAAAGTGGCTCACTGTGGCTGTGAATTTATGTGGTGGGAGGAGGACATCGAATGGAGTTTTTCTGGGGACTTACCTATCCTCACCTCCACTTTATTAGTTGAAAGTGCACATGGTATCCTTTTCTATTTAAACTACTTCCAAGCACACAGTGATGTTGGCTGCCTTCATTTTTTTATTTTAGTCTCTCTACAACTCTGCATTTCATAAGACTGAAATTAGGACAGAATACCTTTACACTCTTTCTCCAACTCTGGCACTCATCGATCCCCTTCATTCTGTATAGTTTTAGCATCTATAAATATCTCACAGAAATAAAATATCATATTATTGTATATTTTGTGATTAGACTATTAAACATATTGGCAGGCTACTAATCTTTTGGTATTGGTTTGGTGAAGATAATTTTTCTATGGGCTCAGCATAGGCGTGGGATTGGATGATTCAAATGTATTGTAGTTATTTTGGACTTTATTTCCATTATTATTATGTAGAATGAAATTTATGCAAGAATTTCATGAAACAACTAAAAAGTGCAAAATGAATGGGAGCCCTGATATTATTTTCCTCGAAGTAGTTGGTCTCACATGGGGATAAAGGGAGATGAGACACTTTAAATCTGTTGTTTATGTCCTATCTACTTCATACTCTTGATTTGGAGGGTGTCATTGCATAAAATCCTTCTTCACAAAGAACAAATATTGTAAAAGCAAACAAGCATTTCAGTGATTTTGTTGTAACCTTAGGATATTGCATCTTGACTTTAATGCAGAGTGAGTTAAGATGTGAAGTTGAGCCAAGGAGCCAAGCTGCATGGGCCTCTGGGAGCACCCCAATAATGCCCCCCTGCCTCTAGGCCATCCAGATACCTGACTCCCACTGTAGAGATCCAGGGCATCACAAAAGACATTTTTCTGAGCTCCAGAAGATAGAGCAGAAGTGAACAAAAAGAGTGCCTCTCTGAGTCTCCTTGACGAAAATTGAAGACCACTGGAATAGTGAAGAAAAGTTCTGCGATAAAGGCACACTGTGGCCTAAACCACACTTTGGTTGGTAAGTTGGAAGGATCAGCACCTCCCATTGGAACCCAGACTATTTGGGGGAAGGGCAGCTGGAACCTGAAGTAGAACTTCGTAGAGTTCAACCATGCAGCAGGTCAGGGAGCTCAACTTGGGCCTTTTGCCAGAAATCAGCCCTAATCTCAGGTGACTACTGCTGGCTTGCTGAGATTAACTGACTTGGATCTGCGCAGTGCTGCTCACTTTGTCTTTTGTGACAGAAGAGACATACTCTGAAGGAGGCTCTTCATTTTTATTTTTTTATTTTAAATGTTTTTTCTCTTTTTATTTTTTCTTCTATTTTCAAATTTCATTTTTCTTTCTTCTTTTCCCTTTTTATTTTCTTTCTCTGTCTCTTATGCTCTTGCTCCTCTCACACTCTCTCTCCCACCTTGTTCTTTATCTCTCTCCTTTTTCTGTGCTAATTTGGATTTAGTTTGTCTTTTCTTCTCTCAATTGTCATTAGTTTTACAGGAAAATGAAAACTGTAGCTTCCCTATTGTTTTAGGTTATTCTGTTCTTGTCTTTATTCCTTCATTCTGTATTTTCCTCTTCTCTTCAACATTTTTAAGCATTTGTGTGATCTTTCTTTGCTCTCTGGACTCAATTCTAACCTTTCCCTTTCCTTCCACCTATCTACTCTTCCTCAACGAGTCTTTCTAAGTCCCCATCCTGAAGGGTAAAGTTGATATATTGAAGGCTTTATTCACAATAAACATATTTTGAGCCAGTGCTTGATTTTTACTTAATTCACATGGTGAAAGGTGACAGATTAATAACTATCACAAATTGTCATTTTCTAAGTTGTGCTCGATGCTATTGTTGTTGCTGATTATATGACTTGGGCCAAGGTGTTGTGATTGATCTAATCAGTTGTCCTTCTTATATTGAAAATGAGATTGCATAAGAGTCATTAGATACTCAAAACCTAAGGAACAGCTATATCTGGAGGACATCTCTGAGAAGCAATCATTCCATAAGGATTCTAAATACAAGCTACAATGATATGCATACTAAGCAATATTGGAGTATCAACCCAGGAATTAAAGCAAAAACAGTGCTAACAACAAAAATGGAGATGAGAAGACACCTATGCAAGGCACAAGCCCAGACCTTCACCTCAACAAATGCAAATCCTGGATACAATGAGGTGGAAAAAAAATCTGATAATCAACCACCTGAATACACTCAACTGATAGTGCAGGAGGTAACAAAATAGATCAATTAGCCTATAGTAAAATTCAAAGCAGGAATAATTTTCCAGATAATTAGAGAGATGGTGAAGAGATTGAAAGTCATGATTAGACACTCAAGAAAAAAAACAGATAAAGCATCGATGATGTCATAGAAGCCATGAATTCCCAACATAGGAAACAAATGGAATCCATGAAACAGATTCAAACAGATATCCAGGAGATTAAAAACTCTATTGAAGGTACTCGCAGCAGAATGAGCCAATATGAAGACAAATTATCAAAATTATCAGATATAGAAGACAGGGTGGTGGTTAGTGACCATGAAAAGAGAGATCCCTTAAAAATAGTAAGGGGCCATGAGAAATTGATCAAGCAGCTCCTACATGACAAAGAAGGATAACATAAGACTGATAGGAGTCCATGAAATGGTAGGAGAAATTACAAATAACATAAAAATACTGTTCACAGAATTAATGACAAAAAAATTCCAAACAGACCAAAAAGGATTTGACATACAGATAAGTGAAGCATGCAGGACTCCAAATAGCTATGATGAATAAACAAAAAACAAAACAAAACAAAACAACAACAATAACAAAAAATTACACCTAGACACATGATAATCAAGATACTGGAAACCTAACAGAAGAAGAAAATTCTATAAGCTGGCAGAGGAAAGAAAGAAAGAAATCACATATAATGGAAAGCCCATCAGAATCACAGCAGACTTTTCAACACAAACCCTCAAGTCAAGGAGAGCCTGGAGTGAGGTATTTCAAGCCCTAAAAGAAAACAACCTCCAACATAGACTGATGTATCCTGCAAAACTCTCCTTCAAAATCCATGGGTAAATAAGATACTTCCATGACAAAGAACACCCAAGAAACTTTATGAATTCCAAGCCAGCACTCTAAAAAATTCTAAACAATACTCTAGAAAAAGAAGATGAGGATCACAACTCCATGAGGCCCAATATAGCAATTCCAGCAGGCAAGGCAAGAAATTAAAGGAGGGGGAAAATTAAAAAAAGCCAACAACAGGAAAATCACATGATGATGATAAGTCAATACATATCAGTTATAAACACCATTGTTAATAATGTTAATGACCTCAGTTCACCAATCAAGAGAAATAGACTGGCAGAATGGATTAAGAAGCAAAATCCAACAATATGCTGTATACGGGAAATGCACCTAGTTAAAAAGATACTCCTAGACTGAAAGTAAAAGGATGGAAAACAGTTCTCCATACAATAGGAACTCGAAAAAAAGCAGGGATACCTATTTAATTTGCAGATGAAGTAAATTTCAAACCAAAACTAATTAAGAGAGACAAAAAAGGTCACTACCTCCTTGTAAAGGGAAGAATCCAAGAGGAAGATATGACAATCCTGAATATATATGCATGAAATACTAATGCACTCAACTATACAAAACCAATATTAAGGGGGCATGAAAAGCCAAATAGGCAATACAATTGTAGTGAGGTACTGCAATATAACACTGTCACAAATAGACAGATCTTCTAAACAAAATATCAACAACAAAATAATAGAACTGAACCAAGCTTTTGAACAAATGGACTTATAGACATCTACAGAGTGCTCCACTGCACAAGATTAGAATACACATTATTTTGAAAATGGGTCATTCTTTAAAATAGACCACATGCTCACTCATGGAACATGTTTAAGTAAACGCTAAGAATTTAAGTTATCCCATGTGTATTATCATACCACAATGCAATTAAATTGGAGATCAATAGAATAAGAAATCATAAGAACTTCACAGACACATGGAAGTTGAATAATACTTTCCTGAATAACCTATGGATCACAGATGAAATTAAAGAACAAACTAGAGAGTTTTTACAAATAAATGATAATGTCAATATAATATACAGGAACCTATGTAACACAATGAAGGCAGTTCTATGAGAGAAGTTCATAGTAATGAATGCCTATATGAGGAAAACAGGTTGAACTAAAAAATAACCTAATGCTGAACTTCAAGCTCCTGGCAAAAGAAGAGCAAGAGAAGCTCAAACTCATACAAGGTAGGAAATTATAAGGATCAGAGCAGAAATCAATGCAATGGAGCCTCAGAAAATGATACAAAAGCATCAAGAAGTCAAGGAGTTGGTTCTTTGAAAGAATAAAGAAAGTTGGTAAATTCTTAGCCAACATTATGAAGAAAAGAAAAGGGTCAAATCCCTTCAATTAAGAATGAA